TCTTTTTGTAGAGAATCTTATAAGATGAAAGGAAAAAATGCTTCTTTCTGTTTATCAGTGTGCGTACTTGCTGCCTGAATATTATGAGAATATTATTCAAATGTTATTTGAATATCATTCAAATGTTACTCCAATATTCAGCTTTTAGAATTTCATTCACACGTTGCTTGAATGTTATTCGAATTTTATTGGAACAATTAACTATTCGAATATAATGTAAATGTTGCTGAAATATTATTCAAATGATGTTTGGATATTATTCATATTTTATTTGAATATCATTAAAATACTGTTTGAATGTTATTTGATTTTTATCGAAACATTCAGCTAATTGAATATAATATAAATGATACTCGAATATTATTCACATGTTATTCGAATTTAGTACAACTATTATTCGAGTATAACTCGAATAAAATTTGAGTCTCAGCTCTCCTGAACGTTATTCGAATATTTCGCTCTCCGAATACCGCTCAAATCGAGAATAATTCGCCAAAAAATCCCCGAGGTCTCGTCAGGTGTAAATAAAGTGTCAAGCCTGCAAGCAAATCGAACGGTAGTGGGTTTTCCATCGACATCAAATCCGTCCTCTCAATCACACGCGTGAACTCGATACGCGACTGTTCAGCGCTCCGACTAAAAGAACCAAGTTATTCTCCTTCTTCGATACAGAAGGAAACCTGTGTAACTTATCCGCGTGCGTGGAGCCTTCGAGAAATCTATCGATTCGAAGGAAAAATGCTAGGCGTAAAGAGCGTTTCGCTCGACGTATTTCACAGCAGTGGCGAGGGGGTAGGAGGAACGGTGGCGCTTCGTCGTCGTTGTAACGTGATCGTTCGTTGGCTTGGCATAAAACCAACCGAGCTTTCCGCGTTCTTCTATTTCTCATCTAAGCTCCGGGTATCCTCGACGGGTATACCGGGTTGAGAACAATTCCTACACCGCGGGTATTGATTCGAATAAATGCGACGGAAATTTCTGTAGGCACGTCCGACAAGGCAGATTTCACAGATGCACGCGAAACGAGACCGCGGTTTCCAGCTTATCCGACACATCCCTCTTGCGTGGGCGTAGACACTGATTCGAGGCATTGTTTTTTTTTTTTTTTTTTGTTTTACTCCATGTATCGTCCTCGCGTAACGTGGAAGGAGGTGGAAAACCTAGAAACCTTTGCATTATGTATGCTCGTTCGTTTAAAGCGTCGTCGTGGCGCTGTTTATCATTTAGAAAGCGCGATGAAAGCGCGAAGCGAAATAAACGTGACGTGAAAGGGGAAAAAAACAACATTCCGATGGTGGGAAGTGCTTGTATTTGAATTGAAGTACGTCGTTCACGGAGTGCTAGACGAGCATAAACTTTGTTGCGTTCGAGGGTGGAAGACATTCGAGTGGTGAAAGAAAGCGATCTGTAAGTAAAATTGAATGGTGTTAAATTTAGATTAAAAGTTGGATGGATCCTAGGTTTGCGAAGATTTCTTATCAGATTTCTGTTACTGATTAATTGCCTCAATAGGCGAAGTGGATTTACTAAAATTGAGTAGGAGGCTCGAAGAAAAATGAATTTGGGTATATCCTTGTCTTTTGTGATTGGTAACAAGTGTGAATTAGAATTAAATGGGTAGATTAATGAAATATTTGAACATTATGTTTTGAACAATTTCTTATTAAAATAATATTGGGCAGATATAAAGACACCCTTTCCATCCATAATTAAACAAGTTCACAAACGAAAGTAAACAAATCAAAATAATATTGGTATAATATGAGGGCACCCCTTCCCTCCGTAATTAGAAAATGTCACAAACGAAAGTAAACAAATCAATAACTATAACATTTACTAATCCCCTCGGTTAGAGAATGTCACCCCTCGTCATTCCATTACGCAGATCTCATACATTTCCACTCTACAAAAGCAGTAAACAATGCAGCAAAAGCGTAAGCACAATGAAGTTCGACCATTCCCAACTTCAGTAATCTCTTCTTTCGACATCGAACTTTCTCATTGCGGTAGCCGTCGAAACTTAGCGCCCGATGCTGTAACTAAGAAACCGAGAAAACGAAGAGAAGCATTTTCCCTCGCAGCGTTCACATCTTCAAATGGTATTGCGCGAAGGATCCTCCCTCCCAGCGGTCGTAAGCGCGCGAAATTTAGTGAGTCCTTGGCTCGAAGTTGCGTGCACGGACAATGAGAAACGACCGCTCGATCTGCAACGTGGTAGAAAATTCGTTGAGTTAAGTGGCTAGCCTACTCTTCCACCCGTTTCCAACCTACGCCGTTTCCTCTTCCAACCCCAGTAGCCCATGTGAGAACGAGTTCTTGAACCGAGGGCAAAGTAAAGCTCGGAAGTGTATTTGCTAAACGACTCCGAAAGAATCGAACGGTTCTCTTCCCTCATTCTCTTCCATTCCCCTCACGGCTCGCGCAAACATCTCCTTTTATCACTCCGCTGCGGCTTCGCTCGTTTACTTTTTTTGCTTGTCTCGCCGATTCTTTCATTGTAAAAAGAAAAGAGCAAGAAAAAACAGAATTTGCCCACGAAAGCGTCGAGCTTTTATTGCTGGACGCTTCGTAACTGCCCTCGCGGAGCAGTATGGCTCTATCTCTCTGCATCCAGCTTTATGCCATGAAATTTAAATATGTATTTCCGGGTGTCCTGAATTTCGAACCGGATGGCATTTCAGGAAGAAGAATATTAGTTAGAGGGATGAAATTCTGTTACCGAAATAACGATCGTTATTGTCACGTTTAATAGTGATTTATTTTGTATCGAGAATATAAGTTCTTTATTTTTGAACGTTTGAGGTTGATTCACGAATAACTTGCGCTGCAGGTGACAAATGATTATGCTTTTGAGAAATCTCTTACAGGTAATGCATGTTTGATTTGCTTGCTGGATGAGTAAAAGTGATAATCAAAGATGGCGGTTGTATAATTGGTCAGATTCATTACGAGATAGGACATTTGAAAATAAATCGTAAGAAACAAGTTATTTATGAATCAACTTGATATATTTTTCTCTTTCTCATAAATTATCTATTTATATTATACATTTTCCTCTTTCTTAAAAAGCAATTCGACATTTATGAAAATGCACAGTTATTCCTAGACGACCTCATTTTTCGAAAATTACGATACCGCTAATTAACTAAAATCTAAATTTCTAAACTAACAGTTCACACATAATGGCACTATCGATTCCACCGATTCCAGAAAGCGTCAAGTGTAACTACTTGCGAGCTCGCCAGAAAAATCTTGGCATTTCCAGGAAGGATCCAACCGGTAGACGTTTTCCAGTAGAATAAAAATAGGTAAAAAAGGAAATGCGTCAAGATAAACGTATCCACCGACTACGTCGGGACGTAGGGTTTTACGCGACGATATTTCGCATTCGTGTGCGAGCATAGGTTTGTACCCGTAGTTCTGGTACCTAGACAGCGCCTCGCGATGCAGATAGCAGAGCTCCTCGCGTCCACGAAGGCGGAAAGAACGGGACAAATGCATCCTGTTTTCCGTTGTTGCTCTCCCCCTCGACCTCCCTTTCTCTAGATAATAACGATCTACGGGCAGGGGTTACGTAGTTTTTCAGGTCAGCGTTATCTGTGCTCGCGTTGAAGAGGGGTTGCGTGGGGCGCAAGAACGCGTACACGCATGCCGCGCGCAAGTAAGCCGTGAAACCACCCCCGAAACTGTTTGCCTGCAAGTGACGCCAAGTCCGGCGTGCCGGATCCCCAGGATCCGTGTTACTTTAGATGAGAAAATAGCGCGCGGATGCACGCGGTGTATCGCGTATCTGGCTCGTAAATTCACCCGTGCACCCGCGATCTACCCTCTGTTCTTTCGCACGGATTCGCCCCTTCTGATGTCGGCGCGACTGAAGCCAGTTTTTGCGGATTTTACAAGCACGCGTGGACACGGGAAAGAAAGATGTTTATTATGAAAATAGATGACTGCGGGATAACGCGATGCTGGGGGTAATTTAGAGACGGAGATTTCTGGATGGTACGTGGGGAGGTTTGGGATAGAGAGATTTTTAGTTGTATACGCGAGTGGTGTAATAGAAATATGTCGAGAGGGATGCAAATAAATTTAGGAAGAAGAGTATGATGTGATTGTTTCTGGGTATTTTGTTGAAATTGTTTTTGAACTTTATAACACGATGCTGGGGGTAATTTAGGAATTTGGGTTGCAGTAACACAAGGGTTATAACAGAAATTTATTGAGAGAGTGGAAATAAATTTAGAAAGAAGAATATGTGACACTGTCTCAACATTTTTTTTAAAATTGATTTTAAACTGTATATTTATAGAAAATTCTTGTATCTGTTTGCGTACAATCGTATGTAGGAGAAAAGATAGATTGTCTAATACATTTCAATTTTCATTCATAATTCACTGAACAAATTCTTGTATCTGGCTGAGAAGATAATTCTGAAGAAATGAATTGTTTAATGAATTTCATTTTCCATTCATAATTCACTGGTACACATAAAGTTACATAATGTTATCGATATAATATATCAAGTCAAGTACGATAATTATAATTTTAAAACAATGAGTATAATTAACTTTCAAAGTATCCTTTAAAAAAACCAGATCAGTATTTTATGTAACCGTAAACTTATACTGCTTCACTTTATTTTCGTCTAAAAGTGAATCTACTCGTATATTTCTAATAAAATTTCATCGAGAAATGTGTACAAATATTGGATGCACAGCTATCGCAATCGGGTACATTTTTTTGTACCTTCTTGCGGTGGACAGGATGCTGTGGGAACGATTCAAACGAAACGAGAGGTTCAAACAAATTTTCACAGTCAGTTGCTATAGCTACCTGCGGTTACAAAAGGCTAAGCTTTTGTACGAGAAACTAAATTGCGTTTTTGAAAGCGTGGAAATTGAATTTTTTCCGTTGCAAAAATGCTAGAGTTGGAAATAATCCATTCGTTATTAATAATTATTATAACTTTTTGCATTAAGTAAAGAAAATTCGATCTGTTTCAGATTCCCTTTAACTCGCATATCGGAGGAGGATTGCGGCTTCTGTTCGTGGTGAGTTTTTAATGGATCGTTACCATCTGAAAATTTCAACTACATATTGGATTAATGAATTATAAAATATAAAAAGTATATTTTCACGGCGTTTAAATTAGACTATACCGGAATATTCGAGAAATTCAAGAAATGTCTGTAACGACCGAGTAATGTTTTTTAAAACTGTATGATCCCTCCATTTCTCTGGATATTTGCAGTAAAAGTTTTCCTCTACTGCTGACCCATACATTCCACCCTCCAAACAAAGGTTATGTACCTTTACAGAAAACTGTTTCAAGCACCCCTTATCGATGTTCTTGTCAGTATTTATAGATAAAGTAGCATTCAGCGAATATTAAGAAATCTTCGCTGGCTTCCGGAGTAACTAAAAGGGAGAATTATTACTATTACCCCAAAGTGGCGTCATTATCCAAAGTAGGGGCCACGATTATATCCCAGGCCGCTGAATCGCTATTTTATATGAAAACTCGACGAAAACATCAGCCACGGGTAGTTAATTGTCACGCAAGGGACCCGTTGCACACGAGAATCACAGTTTCGCTTCCTACTCTCAGCTCCGCCGTCAAGTTTCCCTCGAACTCCGCCAAGTTTTCACTTTCCATGGTGCAAGATTAGCGGCAACTCGATGCACTTAAACGTAACTCTAATTTGCCCGAGGACTGGCGCTCGCCGAGAGTTTTAAATGCCGTGGAAACGCAGTAAATCTCGGAAACGAACTTATGCTAATTAAATTGCGACGAAATACGGTAATTACCGGTAATTATACTTAACTTTCCATTAAACGAACGACAGGCTGCCGCGATACAGCGCGATCACGGCGGATAGTTTATCTTCTTTACGCGCGATTTGTATCGGCAACGTTCGTTCGATCGTTTTCATTTATTTAAAGCGTTCAATCGCGAACGTTAAACGCGAAGCGTCGAATACATAATGCTCCTGTATATTTCTCTGTTCGGTACACGAAAAATCTATGTTAAACGTTTATCAGCCGATTCGAGTTGAATTTCAATCTCGATTTTAATCGGAAACGCAACGCGGAACGAGTTGCGACTGTGAAAGTGGAAATAGTGGAGGGACATATATTTTATTCCATGGTTCTACGCTTATTTGTTTCGTTTATATTTGAGGGAGAGAAAGAGATTGAACTTTTAAAGCAGCCACCTTTGAAATCGATATTGAAATCCGTCGATGTGGATGGCGGGTAATCATTTCACACGGAATGCGTATTATTTACACGCTGTTTATTTACTCGAAATAACGCGTATAAAAATCATCTGATTTTTTTCGCGGGATATGTAAACACGTTTTAAACGAATTAGATTCAGCTGCATGAGTTCTTTTAATTTCTTTTTGGATTTCATGAGGGACAAATTTTATATTTTTCATTTTTTATCCGCTCCAATAAAATATACAAATCATACCAATTTAATCTGTAAACTGATTTTGACGTACAAATATCCTGTCTCACTTTAATATTGTATATTTCTTTATTTAGTAAAGTATTATGATTATAACGATAATTTTTATAACAAAATAAACATGTGTTTCAATATTTCCGGTGCGGTTAAAGTCTTTTTAAACAATTACAGTATATAATTAAAACATAAAATAATAACCATATGTGATATAATCAGAATGAAAGACATATTTTGAGTAGTTTTAATATAATAGTATTTTGACTCTGCAATTTGCAACTAAACATGCAAATGTCATCTTGCACGTATTTTCTCTGTAATCGGTATTTTAACAACGAGCATATTATGTATTATACTTGGGAATTGATTGGTTCTAAACTTACATCAAACCCTAAGGATCATGATGTCCATTACATAGAATAAATAATATAAGTATGTATAATATTCATCTCGACAAAAATCATAAACAGACCAATTACTGGCCACTTACTAACAATAGTACTCGTTTCGATTCTAATGTCCACACATCATGACAGTTTCATCCAGATGAAAGATCCTTCAAATTCCGATGTAGTCCGCTTAATTATCGAAGGCTCGATGTTTCGGAAGTCGATCGTTCGACCCCGCAGCCCGCGGTGCAATAAAGGATGATTAGTAATTACTAGGTGGAGGATGAAGTTTGTAAACGGGTAAGTTTTATTGCGCGCCCCGGTGCAGCGACACATTGATGCAATTCCCTCGTTATGCTTGTTCGTTCGTTTCTCCTCTTCCGTTCGAATATCGCGCGGAATACGGAGCATCCTTTGCTCGCGAAATCGCACAAGGACGCGGATTGCAGCGCGAACGTGAAAAAACAAATTGCTTTAGGCTGATTATCCGCGACGAGGTTTAATACCGAACGGAAATACCGAGTCGACGATCCGCGCACGGCTTGCAGTTCGACGAAATGCGTTTTACAAGGCAAAAAAACCTGGGGTTCGTTGATGAGCGAAACTAGCGCCGAGAGATACCTTTACCAGGATGTGTTTCAAAGCTCTGTTAGACGATGGTAGGATGGTGTTGTTTCCAAGTGCGAGTTTCATTCTGATCGGGCCACGGTACCAATTATCTGACGCCGGCAGAATTGGATTATTTAGGAAAGTGATCAATTTTTGTATATTAAGGTTATAATTAATTTTTTGGTGGTAGATGGTGTCGATTCATAATACAATTTTAATTCTGACTGGATCGCAGATATAATAGTTTGAGGAACAAAGAAGAAGATTATTTAAAAACAGTTTTTTATATTGACGATAGAATTATTTTTCTGATGGTTTGGAATAGATAATTGCAGTGCACATGCGAATAATAATAATTACAATATATAATGAAACTATATAATAAGTATAATAATTATATAATAAATATATATAATTACATTCACTTGTGTTCAATGTCGAAATTCGTTCAAAAGTCAATTAACCCTATTTTAACTTAAAATGTTGTGTGCAGAGTAAATGTTGTTTTCCATACAATATAATACATTTACCTTACACGAGGAACAGGTTGGAAAATCCCTAAATATTATTTGCCGCTGTTCGATGACTATTCCTCCTGTAATTCTGATAAATTCAGTAATCAGTCGTACCATAGGGTAATCATCGTCTAATTAGATGCAATTAATTTCCGACGATTATTACCGTTCGAGACGGTCATCCTCGTGATTACAAATTTCAGGCAAATCATACTACGGAATAATGGGACGATTATCGGTGGTTTCGATTGCGCGCTCTGTTGTGCGTTGAACCGCATAATTTTGATGGTATTGATTTTCGATCTCGGCATGTAAATACCGTGGTAATCTTAGAAACAGTTTACGCGTCGAAACTGAAATCATTTCGGTTACGATATCTGTACGAAATAATCATTTTAGTTCAGTTGTTTTATTTCAGATTGAATCCGTCGGAATTTGTTTCACATTCGAGACAGGAAACGTCCAAGGATTACGCGATAATTTTCGAGTGGAATAACGTTTTGCAATTCATGACAACGAGGAGCGATAGTAACTGGAGGAAAAAACGAACGAGCGTCGTCGGCTGGGCGTATCGTCGGACCTATTCGAATCGAATGAAAGTCGGAAACGTGAAAATGGTGGCTCACGAAAAGATTTCGTGGAATCCCGTGTACAAATTGAACCTGAAACTATTTGAAAAATTGTCGAGTCGAGGGAAAACGGATTACCGTGACGGGTGATTTTTCGCGGACTTTTCGAGATCGCCCAACGAGGGATTAAAGAGGTTATCGCGAATGCAAAATTTCCGACTCAATATTTGAGAGAAAGGCGAGCGACGGGGGCGGAGGGTAACGAGGAGTGAACGTCAGCAAACACTTTTAAGAACGATGGAGGGACAAAAGAGAGGCTATATAAACGCTGTTAACTTTTATCTCGTAATATTGATTCTTTTTAGCCCGTCGAAGGGGTTCTTTATTTCTTTGTTCGGGGTACCTGTACGGTCTATAAAATATATCTTACAGTTTATGAGTCGGCTGTAAAACACGGATGAAAACGGTAGTTGACACGTAGTATTTCGATTCGAACGTTTCGATGTTGGTAAGAGGTACATCAATTCTGGAATTATATTGGATGTGTTTTATGTAACAAAAGCTTACTACGACGAAACGGTATTTGCAGACGGGGCCGTGATAAACGTTACGATTTTAATTTATTGCGATTTGTTTGGAGCATGGAGTACGGCTGCAAGGAAAAATTGGTGAACGATTCAAAAACACTATTTTTTAATTATATTCTTTCTTTTTAAATCTCAGAGTGATGAAGTTTCTATTTAAACGAATTTTTAAAAATGTAGTTTATCTTTTCTGAAAGGTATATAATTATACATATTGTATAAAGACGTGTCATGTACCTTTATACAATATATTTATAACATGTTGGCTGATATTATATTTGGCTTTGGAAAAGAATTATTAGAACATGAATAAACATTAATAATGTGCTACGAAATATAGTTCCTCTTTCCTGAAAAGTATAGAATATATTCTTTGGTGTTCAAAACCATATTATATTTATGATATAAATTTCAAGATGAATATCAATAAATGCAAGCTTCTGTATTTATGCTCATATAATAAACTCTCTGATGCTTCATGGAAGGAGCTTAGAACATGCAAATGAACATTTGATAAATTATGACGAATCACATGGACAAAAATAAAATAAGTTTACGCAATATGTAATTAACTAAAATATTGTTACATCTTCGTTGGTGTACCTTCGCCTGTGTGAGAATGACGTCCATTTTTGGATGTCCATCATAAATGAAAAATTGGAGTCGAATGGAGACCGTTTCGCTTCCACTGTTGAAAATTCGAGAAAAGTAATTTGTTAACGTCAACAATTTTAACCGAAAAATTTCGTGACAATAAACAAGTTTGCGAGGAAAAACAGAAATCCCAGTTCGCCATACATCGTCGATAAACTGGTCAATGCCCACTCCAAAGGAAAACAAAGAGTGGAGCGAAAAATACACGGATACAGTGGAACGCCAACAAATGGGCGAGCTGTTACGCGAAAAAGAGATCCGT